GACTTAATTGCCAAAGTTATGCGATCACTTGCCATCCTTTCCCCGATCTGCCAACTCATGATATTTTAGAGCCATTAACATGTCATCTGACAAGTCAGCATCTGACTCGGACCTTCCTGCATCAGAAATAAAATGGAGCAAAATGAAAAATGTTACCTAAAGAAGTATGCGTCAAAGGAATGGGTAGTCGCTGGAGTTTCAAAGGCTTGGTCGCCTGAGAAAAGGAAAGCATAACGGAGAAGATGTAAGGAAAAATCAAAGAATTTTGGCAAAAGTAAAACTGTGAAATGAGAGCGTTTGGCCTTATATAGGTGTCGCCATTTCACCCCAGCCGTTAGATTATCGCTAATCACATCTTGGCTGTTTAAATCTATAGTGCATCATCACCATTAATCTCAACGGTCACATAAGCCAATGGTCCTGATGAAGCAGGTTGCTTCACGCTCCTGCCCAAACGCGTCGCCTTGAACTTGTATAGCCGCCGCCATGATTACCATTTATTACCTATGAGGTGTGCCTTGGAAGAAAGCGACGTCGTCATGATTTCCTTGAAAAGATGCAAAATTTTCAAATTATTTGCACACAGCCCTGAGCTGTCTAATCAGCAGGACTTCGCTTCGATTATGTAACAACTTTTCCCAAACTTGCCAACACTCAACGCTTCGTCCTTCAGCAAGGACTTCACCTCTGTAACAACTTTTCCCAAAGTTTCCAACACTCAATGCTTCGTCCTTCAGCAATGACTTCGCTTCTGCCATAACTTTTCCCAAAATTGCTAGCACTCAACAAACGTCACTTCTGTATACCTTTTCATCTCTTCTACAATGATTAGAGCGTACATCCCATGAAATGACATGATATCGCCACATCTATAAAGTCCATGCATTATATAAATATCCATACACGGACTCGATGGACTGTTGTCACGAGCCTTCGGGGGTCCTCTACCTCATCCGTCCAGTTCGTCTTCCATGTGTGCATGAACTGATTTTGTGCTGCCATGTGGCGGACAAACCGAATTTAGGTAGCCCTACACCTAACTCATCTAGTTCATCCGTCACGTGTGCACGAATTGATTTTGTGCTATACGTGATGGACGAACCAAACTCGTGTGGATGAATTGAATCCAATACCCCCAAACTAAAACACTGCTGCTCACTTTGTAGAAGATCCGAACTCATCCTCCACACAGGACGAATTCAAATGCCTATACTCTGCATTCGCCATACCCCATATTTACTTCACCACGCTTGCCAAGGTCTTTTATGATGGGACGTATGAAAGACTCTAAACGGTCAACTCACACTACTATGTCAGGGAACATTTAATATCCCCAACCTATAGAATGAGAGATTGACGTCTATAAGAAGATGACCAGCCTAGGATCCGAAGCCACGTGTCCCTACATCCAACGGTTTTCCTTTCCCTTTTTCTTATTTTAAATACTGACACATTAAGGTAAGAAAATGGACCCTGATTTCTGGCCTTGAAATTCTTAACTCTGAAGAATACATACTTATACACAATCTTTGCCACGTTCCGGTGACCACCCCATCGTCGGATATCACTTTTGGGTTACGAAATCACTAACATGACCGTCGAAGTGCTCGCGGCCGCTTCCACCCTCACCAAAAAAAAACCACGAGTGACAAAATGTGTGTTGCCGTGTGCAGAAAGAAGTTTACATGGAGCCTTATTCTGTTGGCCAGATGTTGTAACCATTTTTCGGGGTCAACAGTTCAAGTCAATTAAGCATGCTCAAATTTGGATTAAACATCAAATGAAATGTGCTATAATAATCAACTCATATTAAACATGTTCATGCCAATCAAAAAATAATCACACTTTCTAAAATAATAGCAAACCAAACTGTCTAGTCCTAAAAGTCGAGTAGCCCATGATTGTGGGGACATGACCAAACCAAACAATCTCTAGGTTTGGGCTTGAGCTCAATTCATACTAATCCAATTTAAAGTGAAAATTACACAAATCAAGGTGTTTAAATATCACATTTCAAAAATCAGATTTGATAAAAAAAAAAAATAATTCAGAAATCAGGTATCAATTTAAACGTTTTAACACCTTAAAATTAAATATACTCCACCTACCCAAACCCTAATTATTTTTCACTTTTCCTTCTCTCTTCTTCAGCCGATTTTCACACTTCTCTCTACATCTCTCCTTTCTCTCTTTGAACGTCGACGACCAACAATGAAGGAGTTACGTCGATCGACGACGCTGCGACATCAAGGGCTGCTGAGATCCCAGCAGACGACAGTGTCACGAAGTTGCAGTCAGCGCCAACTGATGCCGACGACTCCTCATAGCATGCCCAATATACTGGCCGATTCCTCTTCTCAAGACCACCCTAACCATGGTCGCCAAACAACAAATAACCATCCCCATCAAAATCTGCAAGCCCGTTCACGCAACCGGTAACTACGCAACTTTCTGTTGATGATTCCGGCGCCGATGGTGGGACCCATGATCTCGGACTACCACCTCAGGCACCTACTCCACTTGGCGTATCCGTTGAGCACATGGGTCTCCCCCAATTTAGCCTTGCGATGGCAATAAACGACAGGGCAATGCGAACGGGTCGCGAACAGCTTGACCCCCTTTCAATTGACCATCTTCTACAGATCCAATCAACCAATTGAACCAACCAATTGGAACTAGTGGTGGCGACATTGTTATGGTACTGTTGTGGTGGTGGTAGAGGTGGTGGGATACTGTTTGTGACCAACTATTTGGTTGGTCTGTGACCAAGTATTGTTGGTGGATCGGGATTGGGATGGGGTTTTTTGGTATATGTGACCAACTATTTGGTTCATTTTGACTAACTATTAAAATTTGACTTTAAAATTCGATAATTTGTAATTAAAAAATAATATGTGACCAACAAATTTGAAAATGTGTGACCGATAAATAAAATGTGACCTATAATTTTTTTGATCTATGAACAATGAAATAAATTGTAATATATAATTTTTTTTGATTTTTGACCTCAAAATAATCTATGACAATTAATTTGATAATATATGACCAAAAAAAAGTTGTGACTCATGAGCATTCATCTGTGACCATCGATTATATAATTGCGATTTTAATATATTTAATTAATTAAAAAATACCTGATTTTTGTATTTTTAAACTTAAGGCCTGAATTTTGAATTTGGGAAACTTGAGACTTGATTTGTGAACTCTTTCCCAATTTAAATTACGTAAACCAATCACACGAATAACTAAATTTACTGCAAAAGCTAGAATAAAATTAAATACTAAATTATCTCAAAATGAACTTGAATTAATCACATTAGCCAAAAAATTAATCAAATTTTCAAACATGTTCAATATGTTTTTAATATTTAATTTGATTTTTTATTATGTAAAAAAAATATATATATTAAATTTTTCAGTTCGAGTTGGGTTAGGATTTACTCGAAATCCATTCCAAACCAACAAAAAAATTCTTTATAAAAAATCAACCCCTAACCGAATAAGTGAAAAATCGACCCAAATTGGTCAAATCGATTTAGGTTTGTCAATTTGCTCGATTTCATGGTCCAAATGCCCACCCCTAATTATCAAGTTGGGTTATTGGACTTGGGCTTGGACCCAATCAAAACTTCTCATCCCCACTACTCTTTCTACAATGCTCCCTATCACCACCGGCTCTTACGGTCGTAAAGAGCCCCAACCACTTAACCCTAGATTTCTACATCACAAGCGAAAAAACTTACAAAATCAATATTCACTAAAACACCATTTCTACATCACATACGTAATATGAATAATTAAAACAAATGTATCTTGCCTCTAGCTTGACTAGAAGCCTACAATTCGATGATTCCGACCAAAGTCTCATGAGATACAATTCGACGATTTCGACTGAATGAGAGACAAAGAAATAAGAATCAAAAATAATATTTAGATCTTGGGGAGAGCGTTGAAATGAGATAAAGACATAATTTACTTCTTGTGCGTATTCCACCATTGACGAAGTAAGGGTTTCTCTTGAATTGCACGTACCCAATCTTTACTTATTGTCATGCTTGTATTCACACATTTATTTTTATCACAATCTCACCTTCAATCTTTTATTAATTAGAACTTCTAGTTTTTGGTGATGGTTCATTTTAAATATTCTGTTAATTTGTTTTAAAATGTAGACAAATATATTTCATTTTTGTATTTGTTATATTTTTTTCTCTTATTTTAAGATATAGGCTTTTACGCTCTCCTAACCAATTTTTTTTTTTTTTTACTAGAAAATTATCATCAGAGACAAGATGTAATAATTAATAAAAAGTTAATGACAAAAATGCGATCGAAAAAAATAAATTTAGGACATAGCTCGATAATGTGCAAAAATTGGGAACCTTTAATTGTAGAGCAGTGATAATCAATTTGCCACATTTAATCGAGTTTGAAATGAAAGGAAGTGAATTCTATTTGGATCGAAGTGCAGCAGAAAAGGGTGGGCAACAACTGACATCTCCACATTCTATAAAACATTAATAATGACGTGAACATGCAATTCAATTGACATATACTTTTTCAATTTTTCTTCTACTTAATAATTTTTAAAATGAACGAATATGTTAGGAAATCACAGTTATAATCTTTCACATATAATGCAAATAAACGCTTCAGCCATAATAGCAAAAAAGGGGGGCAGGAAAAATTACAGACAAAGAAGCGAAAGATTATTCCCTTATCGTCCGAAAATGATAGGTTCAGGAACAACCTCTTCCACGCTTGCAAATCGCCTTCCAAAGAGAGATTTATAACTGGTTAGAATCACTCAATATGTGGCTTGGATCATCGATCAACAGATCTACCATAAGCAGCCACGTTCAAGCCCTAAATACAACCTAACCCTTGCGAGAAACCAACACCATTCAATTACTATTTCAAGCCTAAATGTTACACAAGGTTCTCTCAACAACAGGCTAAGGAGACGGTAAACATTGGAAGAGACGAACCCAATAGAGAGAGAAGAGAAGAGAAGTCTTAAGGAATGAACCCGAATGAAGCTCAAAAGTCGAAGCCCAAGACAAAAAGCCCCAATCGTATATCACATCCAAGGGCCAGAAATGATCCTAAACTAGCACAATCCAAGTGACACACTTGGCTACCAATAAGTGAAAAACACTCAAGCAGCTGAAGTAAAATAATAAACAATAATACAAATGTCACAAATAGCATTAATCCAATAGTGTTAGTGAACCACCAAAAAAGCCTACGGAATATCATGACACGGTATAAATCTGGTCACCTATCCCAGCGCAAGCGCCAGAAATTATTGTTCACATTTGCTGCGAATATTATTTGGAAAAACACGTGTGAACAAGTCCGTCTGTGCAACAAAATTAAATGTCCCATTTCCTAATTTTCTGGTCCCAATTTCTCGCCCACTAGGATCTCCCAATTCTCAATAAATAAGTTTAAGTGCCACACTAATGTGAGTTCTTGGCCTTCGAAGGGCATTAGGATCGGGTATGCGTCTGTATCTGTACCCACGCTTGTACACGAAAAAGCGAGACGTGCAGGACAAGAATCTTAGACAAAGTGTGCAACGAGGGTCAACAGTGTGCCTTGTCTAGCAATTTGTATGTCAACAACCAAAAGTATTCGTTAAAAAATATGCATGATATATAAATTTAATATATTAATGAAAGAAAATGGCGTATTTATTAATTTAATCAAAATAATTTATTGATATGAAACCTTAAAATACTCGATGCCACATCAGATAAATAATCATGGTTGGAGTTGAGTGTTGATACCTAAATTTTCTTGTCGTCTTGTGTTGCCTAATCGAACGGGAAAGTACGTAAATTTCCTACCTCGAAAGGCCAAATGTCTCTATTGCACAACCAAAACGAATCCTCCTTCCATTCATGACCATGGAAATTAGAAAAATAATATTATATAAGAATTTAATTAACCAAGCAAACAAAAATACCCAACATTTCGAATCTCAAAAGCCATTGTATCAAATGTAGATGGCAAAATGCCAAAATGTGACCATTTAGTTGCAACTTGCAATACAAAATAATAAATGTACCGACCCCAATGTTGCATCTGAGCCAAGAAGCTTGGAATTCCTCGTGGTTGGCTATATAATTCAATAACAAATGTATGGTATTCAAGACTTGCAGTACCACGTCACATCTACGTGATATTGCCTCTACACTTTGACCCATATCTTTCAACAAATTTAATTTTAGATAATAGTAGTAGTACATAATTTTTTTACCATGATGGTTCACATAACACTCACATGGGGTGGGACCCACAAAAATTAAATTGTAGTGGCAATTTTATGTACCACTACCATTATCCAAAATTAAATTTGTTGAAAGATATGAGTCAAAGTGTAGAGGCAATATCACGTAGATGTGACGTGGTACTGCAAGTCTTGAATACCTCACTCCATGTGAGTGTTATGTGAACTTCTATGGATAAAATTTATATACCCATAGCATCACTCTTTAATTTTTGGGGCATAATATTAAAGTATTGGAATTAATGCTCCACTAAAACACATATGGAAGAGAACAACAATTAATTTGTTTTGATTCATCAAACCTACCAATCACCTTATTGTCATTAGCTTATGCTACTTCTTTGAAGTCTTGAGATTGGTTGCATCCTAACAGTTCTTATTGAGAAGAAAACATAAATCACAGTACGAATGATTGAGATCGAAGTTCTATTATGTTACTCTAAAGTATACTATCATTTCGTACTTGAAATATTCTGATTTTCGGTAGGTAATTAACTTATCTCAAAATTTACGTGCTGACATGGTATTGAATGAGTTAGATTCTAGTTATAACACGTAGATACACACAAATCAAGATAGACATCGATATCGATCTTATTTTCACTTAGTTTGAACGTGCGTGCTTGAGTATAACATAAACGAAACTCACAAGGGAGAAGAAAAGAGATATCGAAAAACTTTCATTCTAAATATGATATTTTTATT